CACCGCCGCCGCCGCCGCCGCCGCCGCCATCGCACGCAGGCCGCCGCGGACCCCGCGCCCACCCCGAAATGCGTCGCAGGCCGTAGCCGCGGACTCCGCACCAACCCCGCACCAACCGCGAAATGCGTCGCGGTACTATAATGCGGATAAGATATTTTGTCTACGAGATCGATGACAACATCATCCGGCTGCTAAACGAAGCGCCGTCAATAAGGGGTAAATGATGAAATCATACTGCGTTCTCACAGTTCTTTCTTTCAAAAGATCAGAAGCGCCGATAACGATATTTATCTGGGAAGAAACGCGAGATCGGTGACACGTCGCGACGCGTTAAGAAAAGCGCCGACAACGATTTTTTCTAAGAAGTGATCGATGACACGTCATCGATGTCGCGACCCGATAGGGGTAGACAAAGGGATGGCGTGGTACTATAACGCGGACAAATGCATCGCGATACTGTAACGCGGACAAAATATTTTGTTTAGGGGATCGGTGATACATCATCCGGCTGCTAAACGAAGCGCCATCAATAAGGGGTAGATGATGAAATCATACTGCGTTCTTGCAGTTCTTTCTTTCAAAAGATCAGAAGCGCCGATAACGATATTTACCTGGGAAGAACCGCGAGATCGGTTACACGTTAAGCGCTGACAACGATTTTTTTCTAAGAAGTGATCGGTGACGTCGCCATTGCGACTAAATAGGGGGTAGACAAAGGGACAAAAAAGTTGCAAATGGAATATGTAACGGGACATTAGCGCGCAACATCTCAGTTGGTGCCCTGTAAGATTACCAAACCGATCATGGTAAGCGTAATGTGGAAAATATGGCTGCCCATCGTGCGAACGTTCAGGACATTGACGTTGAGGACATGGATGGTGTAAATACAGACAAGTTATTCGAAGCACTGGAAGTAGAATTTGAGGACATAGTGGATCAAAAGTCGTCCAACGATACTGAATGTCTCATTCGTTTGGACGATGGCAATATGGATCACGCAAAGAAATTTGTCTTCGGAAATCGAAACGTTAGACATTCATACTGATCACTGTATAATCTGCTGTTGTTATACAACGGGTGATGGTGCTTTAGTCATATGTACACATTGCATGGCTTATACGCCGAATTATGGCAAGATTTCTTTGCGGAATATTGGCGATGAAGGAATGTATCTCGTCAGGACGCACCAAGACTGGTCTTACTGTACACAGGGCACCGAGTGCTCGATATGCGAAGAGCCGATGTACACTGTATTTCCACGCAGCATGTGCCCACTGTGCACACATTGAAAAAACTATTGAGTGCTCCGTGTAAGAGTGTGTGTGATCTAAAAACATCGGAAACTACGAGCGAATGAACGCGAACTACTGGAGCAGTGCGGCCAAGTCGCTACTCTGGTAGAGTGCTTCGCGTGGATGCAACGATGCGACGAGTGCATCGAGCAGCTCGAAGAACTTTGTCGTACCAAGCGTCCGCGCCTCAACGTCGGATACAGACAGTCTGCGGTGGCAAAGATCGCGCGACTCGCAGGTGCAAAGTCCCAACTAGAGCGATGTTTCATGCACGTTGGTGGCGAGTACGAGAGTGGTGGGTACGCGAATAGCAACGAGCAATCTCTTGTATGGCGAGAGATCGACGCTGCGTTCGAGAATCGTATAGCGACAGGTGCGGTGATAAACTATAATCATATCGAGCCTCGCCGATTCCTCGAAGACGCTGGCAACGTAGTGCTAGAGCGAGTGCGAGATGCTGTAGAAAGACATGGCAGTGTAAAAGTGAACGCCGCGTTCAACGGCGAGTTCGCGACGAAAGATAAACGTGCCATTAAGAGTATAAACACTAAGAACATTGAAATATATCGATGCACCGATATACGTGAGTGGTACGAGCGGCACGTCATCGAGCCTACGTTGACATCGCTCGAAGAGTTCCAGGAACGCGACTGTGGGTGGGCGCTATCGCGAATCCTCAACGTGACTGGTAGTGTGAACAAACTAAATCCCATGCGCGCGGGATGTCATGTCGAAGTGCCGCAGGAAATAGTGACGAAACGAGCGGTGATCAGTGTGCGTACGGCGGACAATGCGTGCTTCGCGTGGTCGGTAGTCGCCGCTCTGTATCCCGCAGAAAGAAATGTAGGGCGAAAGTCATCGTATCCGTAGTACACTGCAGTGTTAAATTTCACAAACATCGAATTTCCAATGATATTAAAAGACATTAACAAATTCGAACAATTGAACGCGATGTCGATCAACGTGTATGGCATCGAAAACAAACAGATCCTTCCTCTACGGCTCACCAGCGATAAGAAGGAGAAGCATATCAATCTCCTGTACCTGCAAGATCCACGCGACGACAATGTGGGCCATTTCGAATGGATTAAGAACCTGTCGCGCCTCGTGAGCTCGCAACTCAGCAAACATAAGAATAAAAAATTTTTCTGTGATCGGTAAGTATACATAAAAAAAAATTATAATTGTCCTTTATATTAATAAATATGATAATAATAATTTATATGCGTTTTTTCCAGATGCTTGCACTACTTCAGTACGAGCGAAAAATTGGAGTTACACGCAATGGACTGCAGAAAAATTAATGATTGTGCCATCAGACTGCCGAGCGAGGACGACAAATGGCTAGAATTCGACAACCACTGCAATAAGGAGCGCATTCCATTCGTCGTCTACGCCGACCTGGTGTGCGTTCTACAGAAGACGGAGCCCGACAAGGAAGATGCGTCGTACACATATCAGCGGCACAAGGTATGCAGTGTGGGCTACTACGTGCGTTGCTCATACGACAACTCGTTGTCATCGTATCACTTCCGTCGCGACGAAAACTGTATATCATGGTTCGCGCGATAACTCAACGATTTGGCGCATCGCGTCAAAGATATTGTATCCGCCAACGTGCCCATGGAAGTGCTGTCTAAACAGCAATGGGAGACATACCGTAGCGCGACGCGTTGTCATATTTGTGAGAAGCCGTTCGCGCCGGACGACACGCGAGTCCGCGATCATTGCCACTTAACCGGTAGATACCGCGGTCCAGCACATTCAAATTGTAATCTTAATTATGAAACTTCGCTGTATATTCTGGTTGTATTTCACAACTTGTCGGGGTACGACGCACACTTTCTAATTAAAGAAATAGCTACCGCGTACGACGAACAAGTAGATGTTCTACCGATAACCAAAGAAAAATACATATCATTCACTAAACACGTCGATAGCACCAAAGATAAAAATACAAATCATTTTCAGAAAAATTGCGTAAAATTAAGGTTTATTGATTTATTTAAATTTCTAAGTGCAAGCCTCGATAAATTGGCGTCGTATCTCGACGAAGATAAATTAAAAATTGTACATTCCGAATTTTCAACTTTGTCAGATGAAAAGCTTGAATTACTAACTCGTAAAGGTGTCTTTCCATACGAGTACGTTGATTGCGTTGAAAAATTGCAGGACACACGCTTACCACCGCGCGAATCATTTTACAGTTCATTGACGGGCGATACAGTATCCGAGAGCGATTACGCTCACGCCGTAAACATATGGCAGCGATTCTCCATTCGAACGATCGGCGAGTACAGTGATCTGTACTTGAAAACCGATG